TGTTTTCTCTCCTTTCTTTATTCGTTTCTTTTGGTCTTGCTTCTCTTTTTTTGTTACCTTTATTTCGAAATCATCGTGATTTTTTTCCCTTTCCTTCTCCTCTCCTCTTCCAATCCCTCTTCGTGCTCTATTATCGTTGATTTATTTACACATTAAAGTACCTTTTTTATTTATTTGTCCTCCTCTTCTTTTTCTTCTTCTTCATCTTCCTTCTTCTTCTTCCTCCTCCTCCTCCCCTCCTCCTTCTTTGTCTCCTCCTTCTCTATCTTCACCTCCTTCTCCATCTCTCCTTCATCACCATCATCATTTTATACTTCTCGTTCCTCTATTCTTGTCTCAACAGCCTCCACCTCCCTCCACCCCCTCCATCCCCTCTCTCATCCACCTCCTCCTCTTCCCCAACATCATCAGCCTCCGCACAGCCTTCTCCTCCGACACTACTCCCTCAAGTTCAACTCCCCCTCTTCTATCTACACTTCTCTCCTTCCTCTTCCTCTTCCATCTCCACCCTCTCCCCTCTCCCTCGTCGCCCTTATCCTGCACTACAACCCCCACCACCTCACCTCCCCCCCCCCTCCGCTCCACCTCCTCCTCCTCTTCCCTCTTCTCCTCTTCCTCTTCATCCTTTCCATCCCCCCCCCCCCCCCGCCCACCCGACCTCGCTGAACGGCTGAAATAGTAACTATTTTATTTTCCTTCTGAAACCGCTTTTATGTCCTCGGTCTGTGTCGTCATCTTGCCATTTTCTTGGCCCCGATTTAAAAGAAAAATATTCATACATAATTTTTTTTTTTTTTATATTTCTTTATCGATATCTTGTGCTTGTCTTTTTTTTCCCCTTGTATTTTGCCTAGATTTTTGTTGCCATTTTTCTTATTTATTTCCTAGTCAAACGCATCTCTCGCGTTCGGAGAGTTCTCGTTCAGGGCTTCTTCTGCCGGGGCTTCCCTGGATCCCTCCCGCCCTTCGCCGCGCTTCTCTTTCGCTTGGTTTACAGATGTACATACATATATATATATATATATATATATATATATATATATATAATATTATATATATATATATATATGTGGTGTGTGTGTGTGTGTGTGTGTGGTGTGTGTGTGTGTGTGTGTGTGTGTGTGTGTGTGTGTGTGTGTGTGTTGTGTGTGTGTGTGTGTGTGTGTGTGTGGTGTGTGTGTGTGTCTATGTGTGAGTGTGTTAGGTAATGAATCTACACTTATTTATTAATTCACATGTTCTTCTCTCGCCTCCCCCCCCCCCCCCCACCCCTTCCACCCCGGCTGCTCTCGTGGCGACTGAATGAAGCAGCCGAGAGTCACTCCCATGTGTGTGCTGTGTGTAAAGGGGGGGGGGAGTAGGGAGGGGGGAGTCCCTGGCCCCACTCTCACCTCCCTCTGCCTCCCTCGCCCCTTTGGCCCAAAATCCCATCACATAACAATGGGATAATCGACCTTGAGAACACCGTGTGATTTATAAACGTCCTTTCTCCTGGCCCTTCATTAAGTATGTATGTCTTCCCCTCTCTCCTCTCCCTCCCTTCATCCTTTCCACTCCTTTCCCCTCTTCCTCTCCTCTCCCCTCTCCCTCTCTCCTCTCCCCTCCCCTCTCCTCTCCCCTCCCTCTCCCCTCCCCTCCTCTCTCCTCCCCTCCCTCTCCCCTCTCCCCACAAACTCTGAAAAGGACACAAGGGAGTATTTTCCCCCTCTCTTTTTGTTCCTGTCTCCCCTCTCCTGTTACGGAGCGAGGGGAAAACTACACGCTCCGACTCGCCTTTTGGGTGATGTAGGTGATGAGATACGGCCGCTCTTGCGGTGGTGAGGTGGTGGTGGTGATGTTGCGGAAGAGATTGTAATGGGCGGGGGGGGGGGAGACGGGCAGAAAGGGGGGGAGGAGTGATAGGGAGAGATGGAGAGAGGACAGGAGTAGGTGGAGAGGAAGGGAGGGAGTGGTAAGGAGAGAGTGGAGGGGGGGGGGAGGGGAGAGGAAAAGAGTGATAGGGAGAGAGTGGAGGGGATGAGGAGAGGAAGGGAGGCATTTGGGTTGGAGGAAAGGGAGTAGAGGGGAGAGAGGAAAAGCAGAGAAGTAGGTGGGTAAGATGACAAGCAATTAGGTAGATAGGGAGGGAGAAAAAGAGTGAAGAAAGACGAGGAAAGAGGGGAAGGAAGGAGGGAGAGAGGAAGAGAGTGTAGGAGGAAGAGGAGAGGGATTAAAGGAAGGAAGGAAGGGAGTAGAGAGAGAAGGAGGGGAGGGAATAAGGGAATGAAGAGGGGGAGAGATGGAAGGAGGGAAGAAAGGGAGGAGAAAAAAGAATGGAAGAGAGATGGAGTAAAGGAAGAAAGAGAGTGAAGGAAGGAAGGGTGATAGAAAGGGATAAACAAGGAAGGGAAGGAGAGTTGGGAGAGGAGAGGAAGGAAGGAAGAAAGAAGGAAGGGAGGGATAGAGGGAAAAAGAGAAATAGAGAGTGAGATAGATTGGAATATAAAGAGTTGTACAAATA